GAAGATGAAATTGTTGCCAAAATCGACAAAAAATCATCTTGTCTAGTGATATTAGAAGGCAGTTGATGTAAATTAGCATCAAATAAGTCTTTAACAGCAATAATAAGGAAGGGTGATGGTGATGATAATGATAATGATAGTGATGAATTGTTTCGCGCATTGGACATCATCTGAAAAGTAAGATATAAAAAGGGTGATTAAAAAGGCAAACAGAAGCAGATGATGAATTCAAAATGAACAGTATGGCTAGATCATGTTGCGCGTTCAATCATAGCAGTGACATATAAGAACAATACGAAAGAAGAAGCATAAAGAGACATAACTCAGAAAACAAAGCAGAATAAGAGACAGAGAGACAATGAACTTTGAAGAAAGTTATTCGTATTCACGAGCATGAAGATGGTGACGAGTCAAATTTTCACACCAAATAAGGACGATCGAGGAAGTGCAATTTTTGCCTTGTCAATGATGAAAAGCATAGTAATTCGTCGATCTAAATGGCCTAAGAAACATTGTCATTGACTTCTTCTTCTTCTTCTTCTTCTTCTTCTTCTTCTTTCAAAATAACGAACACGAAATAAGACAAAAGAGCAACTTTTCAGTTGAAAAAGTTTCCGTATCGTTCATTCTGTGTATTACCTTCAGTATGTGGCACTAATAGTGTGGTAAAAAGGAGTTTGATCACATAATAATAACTTTGACACGAGATTGGTGAATATTTCTATCATTTTTGAATGCAAGAAAAAGAAGATGTCTACTGTTTGGCGAACGAATATATTTGATGCTTGATTCGTTGTTGTTCATAAAATATGTAATTAAACGAACAAGGTAGCGGTATTATTCGTTGCATATGTTGCTAAATCATCTTCCATGACAGAGAAATCTTTGTTGAAAATGTGAACTTGTTTGATTTAGTTTGTGTTGAACTATATGAAATAACAAAGGACATGAAAATTTTTATATCATATGCAAGATAAAACATCTTCATACTATGCTATGTATTGAAATTTGTTTATTTGTTTGTTTTCTACTCATTCATCAACATGTCCAAATCANATCAAATTCATCTTTGATTTCATCCATAACAAGTTCTTTTGAAACGTTTGTCCATGATGTAATAGCAAGAGATCTTGTATGCAACCGAAATGGTTTTTGTCTATCGATGGTTGGTGATGGTGATCGGAAGTTAAAATGAAATTCTTGTGCAATAGTTTGCCGATCGAGATGGCCGTAATCAGCAAAGGGACGATCATGATCGTCGACAAGGCCTGTTTGATTTATTGGTGGATATGGACGTTGTGTTCCTGTTGCTGCTGCTGCTGTTGATAATGATGATGGTGATGACCTAAGCGAAAGTGATCGTGGGACAAGATCCACACTCGTGTTATCGATGATAACAGAATTGCCATTTGGAGAAACATCTGCTATCATATTTATCGTACTCAATGGTGTAAAATTCAATTGTTTGAAAATATGCTCAGCCGATTCATCATTCACTGGCCGTTGACTGACAATTAATCGGCATAGTTGTTGTTCAGTTTCTTTATCGAGTTGTTCATCAGAAACCTTATGGAAACTGCCGCATTGTTGTTCCAGGGCGGTATCATTATGGACAACCATAGAACTGCATTCTTTCTCTTTATACTCATTTGCATAACAAGCATTCGATTCCGCTTCGAACTCTTCTAATAGTTGATAATAATTCTGGTCCATACTATCTGTCATATCCACAAAAGGAGCATCCATATCAGTAATAGTATCCACTCGATAAGAAGAACGTGCTTGCATATTTATCGTTGGTGGTGTTGCATGAACATCGTCCATATTGTTACGGCGACCATTGTCATTTGAGATTTTATCGTTAGACATCTAATGTAAAATAAAACAAATCGAGTTAGATGAATCGCGAAAATGAGCAAACAAAATATGAAACTACTCGACAAAATCAATACTCGAATGAACTTACCACATCTGAGCTTGTTGGACTAGATGTTATGTCGATGATGGTCTTCTCGTGAGAAGCAGCTGCCATTGGTGGGTCGTCTTGTTTACTGTCATTGAGTGAATCTTTATTACCAAATGATTCTTTAGCAGGATTGTTGTTCATATTGAGTTCTATATTGTGTAATAATAATTATGGACAAAAGCTGAATTTACAAGTAAGCAAATCTGAACAGTATTGTCGAATGGTATTCAATGTGATATCTGAAATCATATGGAACGTCGTGAACAGAGAAGAAAAAGAAGAGATACAAAAGAGTTCGAACTGACAAAGCAAGAAGCAATCTGACTGTTTAATAGGGAGTGTGATCGCTGAACAGAGAATGAATATTTTCGCTGGACGATAGCGACTATATATACATATAGAGCATGGAAAGAGAACAAAAGACTCATACCATTGCCCATTGGTCCGCTTAAATCGTGCAATATCTGACTAGACATCAAGGAATGTTCTATAGAATATTTTCTCATCAGAAAAGAATAGTAAGAGAACAAGCTTATTTCAATGGCATGTATTTAATTGATCAGTAGAATATGTGAAATGGTCAGTAAAATATTTAGACGATCAGTGTTTTACTTGATTCGCTCCGTGGAATATACGAAAAGATCAGCCGTTAGTATATAGTGAAAACACGGGCCCTATGGTCGTGGGAACAGCTACCAAGACACGTGTTTCGACCCGGCTAAGAGTCCAATAAGAGTTATTAAGGATAACATGTTAAAAGGTACGTTATATGAATTGAGTATCGAAAAAATTTTGTATCGTTATTTAACTTTTGCAATAGATATTGATTTAGTGAAATCTCTCGGTATAGATAGACGAAACGAAGCGAAATAGTTGACAGTAGCTTTTAAATTGTTGTGGAGAAAGTAATATATGAGAATTTGTATCTTGCTGTTGAATTTAATAGTATTCAATCAGTGCCAATTTTTATCATAGCGATTCGTATTCCGAACTAGTGTAGGCGATTTGATGTAAGTATCGTAGTAATTGCGTGACACACGAACGAGAAATATATTATTTGAGTAAGAATCATGTGTGTCGAAAATATCTCTAAAAGTTATAGAATAAACTGTGTTCCACTTACCACAATAGTCGACGATTGTAAAATGAACAATCATTCAGATGTGCGCGGCTATTTATACTGCTGCATGAGAGAGTGAGCGAGACAACGAAAAGAAAGAAAAAGGCGCTAGTGCAGGGATCAATGAAAGATGAGCGAAAGAAAAATGAGCACAGAAAGATGAACACAGAAAGATGAACACATGAAAGATAAGCGTAAAGAATCGTAAGCGAATGACTAATTGAGCGTGACTCCTAATTATCGATATACACACAAATGTAATTAAATTAACTGATAGACAATTTATTGAATTAGTCAAAAATTGAAATATATTTTTATAGAGAAATACTATAGGCAATCGAATTGGTAATTATACAGGTGTGTAGACGAGAATGACAGCTATCAGATTTATAATTAATGCAACGCCATTAAATTTTTTCACCGTAAGGTCGGTCTTTGATGTATGAATGACCATCAAGATCTAATCGTGGTTTTTGCTTTGTTGTACCGTTTTCAGAGATTTTCGACATTGTCAATTAACAAGAAATTGAAGTTACATACATCATGTAACATTATTTATATTTTTGTGAATTAATTATATCGTTAGACTTAAGTTGACATAGTTTATTATCCAATTCCCCGTATAAACAATGTTGCTTAGCGTTCAGAGTATATCCAANTGTATGAATGACCATCAAGATCTCATCGTGGTTTTTGCTTTGTTGTACCGTTTTCAGAGATTTTCGACATTGTCAATTAACAAGAAATTGAAGTTACATACATCATGTAACATTATTTATATTTTTGTGAATTAATTATATCGTTAGACTTAAGTTGACATAGTTTATTATCCAATTCCCCGTATAAACAATGTTGCTTAGCGTTCAGAGTATATCCAATTTAGTGATGAACACAATGCTCTGTACATTTGATAATCGGTGTTATGCTTAATTAGTCAGGCGCTAGTGCAGGCGCTAGTACAGGCGCTAGTGCAGGCGCTAGTAAATACACTAGTAAAGACGCTAGTCCAGGCGCTAGTGCAGGCGCTAGTGCAGGCGCTAGTGCAGGCGCTAGTACAGGCGCTAGTACAGGCGCTAGTTGGCAACAGTATGTTTCGAAGGGCTCTTTCATCAATTGAACGCGGATGAAAAGTATGTCACAAGTAAAACTAATGGATTTATTCGAATAAAAAGATATGTCTAGTATGAATATATTCTCGAACGCATACTACACTGGTGTGCTGATTCTCTTTCCCATGGTTTTATTCCGAACTTTGATCATCTTGACAATGTGAGATTACTTGCTGAATTTTCATACACATTCTAATATCTAAGACTTTTCTGATCTCTATCCTCAATCATACACATCTAATAACATCTCTATCCTCAATAATACACATCTAATAACAGAATATTCTTCTGCGTTTCTTCCTTCGACTACCACAGACGATCTAAATTCGTTACCACTTCATTGATCTGATTGTCCAGCGCATTTCTCACTCTTTCTCTCTAGAATATACGTCTGTGTCTCCTCCTTCATATATCGACGTCGTCAGTGATTGCAAAGTAAAAACAAATGTACATCAGAGCCTATTTTCTCTGTCAAATGAACATTATTGATCATCAAAAGTGTTGTATCAATGTATAGATGTACTTTATTTAGATTTAAAATCGAACAAATGTATTATTCAAGTAGGAAGAAAAATGAACATGATTAGCACAACGACCATTAATAAATAAAGTATAAACACACGATAGTTATACACAAGTAAAAGGAGAGATAGCAATGACTTGAACTGTATTTCATTCAATATCAATAAATGCAGTTTACCATTGAATCATAGAGTTCATCCAGAAAATCATTCTTCGAAAGTTTACAATTGTTGCTAATCTAGAATTGTATTAGTTATCTGACAGAGAATTGTGTTTATGGCGATAATTGCGTGTATTAATAACACACGAAATGCTATTGTTTCTTTTGTCGCTTGTTGAGCTTTACTGTTTGTGGCTGTTTCTTAACTTTGTTCGACGGGTATTGTTTGTAGCCACGTAAATTTGATACAAATTGTCCGAATTCAAGACAATTTCGATCTTGTATAATATAATCATTCCATGCTAGAATGTTTTGTGTTACTTTGTAATTGCAATACGAACCGGTTATTGTATCAAGAAAACGGGTTCTTTTGTTCATCTTGTTTCGAGATATAATTTGTATATATACTTCTCTTCGATTATGTAACTGATTAAGTTCTTCACCAATACAAATATACTGAATATCAATGTCACGAAATTCGTCGCGAATGTAATCCATAATAGTAGTTTTCGAAATACTAGTCCATGATATAATAGCTATTGACTTTGTATTATGCCGAATTGAATCTCGACGGGAAGCTGAAGACGGTGGCTCAAGATTAAATTGGCATAGCTTGGCAATAGTTGGTCGGTCGAGATCATCATATTTAGAAGAGGAAAACTTAAAATCAGACTTTGTAGCAATGTCCTTGGTTGACAATTGAGCAGATTTTGATGGTATATTTTCGGTTGACAATATTGATGTGGTTTGAGTTCCACATGAAACTTGACTGTTGTTGATTGCATTTTTCATATAAGGTTTGACATCCTCAACGTGTGACAGCATACCATCAATGCATTCAGCCGGTGCATCTTGTTGAATTTCCAGATTGAGATCAATTCCACTTACTTCTGATTGTTGTTTGTCATTGCAAAGTGGCAAGTTTAATAAATTTTCATTTGTCAAATCATTCTCATCAGCATGAGAATGATTATTTTGAGGCGCCTCTTGGCTATTACTTTCTTGTTCATAGCGTATCGTTTCGGCTGCTGACTTGTAGACATTGATAAAAGAATGCACGTCAGGAGTATGCAAACCTGTTGGTGCATTATCAGACGATAAACTGATTGAACTACTTCTAAAGGAATAATCCTACCTGGCTGAGATAGACGTGGCTGATTTGTCATAGGTGAAGGTGTAATAGAAATATTATCCAAATTGTAGCGATGATAATAGGAAACCTCCTTATCATCAGCTCCTCCTGCAATCATCATTGTATTGCTTACTTCCTAAATATACAACATCGTGGTACAATTCATATTCAATAAATGATTTCATGGCTGGATTATTTACGAGTGTCAATGTTGTTGGACGAGATGATACCAATCTGTCGTTTGACGTTGCTGTAGTATCATAGGTGGTATGGTCCATACTATCGTTGTTTGATTGCATAGTGTATCCGTTTTGAATGGTATCTTTATCTTGAGAAGTTTTGCAAATCGTATTGTATATATTCTAATAACAGAGAGTGACACATATGTCACGGATTGAATGTGATGGGTAGCATATTGCACAGTGCGATACATGAATTTTATTTCTATACTACCAATCGTCTACTATCGATCGATTCTCAGCGCTTGTAGAGTAAAAAATTGTTTGAAAAAAATCACATCAACATATGACTCATATTTCAGAAGAGGATAGTATAATTCTAAGACGTTACGATAACCAACAACAGTCGACATGTACATATTCAACACGACATTGTTCATATGCAGAGGCAGAACAGAAAACGAAGGAAGATAAGGAATCTGCTCATCTACCACGCACAACACAGCGATACGACGCAGGAGCAAGGGAACTAAAAAAGTGACTTACCTTGAGAATCGACTATCGATGAATGAACCATTCTGTGAGAGAACATCGCTATTTATAGCATCGGTGTGGCCACGAAAGAGAGAGAGAGAGAGAGAATCATTCATTTGGAGTAAAGAACAAAAGGTATGGAATTCACCGCGATAATCATATTCTACTCATGTGTGTGACATCAAAGTACAACACGGACGCACCGACAATGGTCAACATGTACTTATACCGACAGAACAGGACAAATTTTAATATCATCTCAACTATACCCTACAAAAGTATCACATCATTTTTGAATATCACTACATTCATGCACATATGTCATAGAACCTCATGAGTAGCTGAGACGTTTCATTTATATTGATCACGACAATAATGAACAAACACTCAAGACACCATGACTATCGCCAACTGGTGGTTTGTGTTAGGCCTACTGACCGGGCTGTTCGAGGCACCCTCAATATGTGATATGCCTACTGAATCCGTGCTGTGCCTACTGGCCGGGCCTTTCGTGGCACCCTCAATATGTGATATACCTATTGAATCTGTACTGTGCCTACTGACCGGGCCGTTCGAGTGGTCTTCTGGTTCAAGTGACGGCAGCATAAAATCCAAAAGGATTAATTCTGATGCTTGTTATAGTTCTTTTGGGGATGTACATATGTACATTCGAGCACGTCAAATACTAGAATAGTCGAATTCAAATGTCGAGTTATACGTGTATGCTACAAGCATTCGATAGTATTACAACATCGAGAAAAGGCATTGTTGAGCTTTTTGATGTATTTTTTTAAAAATGTTTTGATGTATGAATGATTTTGTACGATTTGTAACGTTTTGTTTTGAACACACAATGCATCGGTGTTGTCCCGGTAAGCACATTGCTCAGGTCACTAATTGGATTTGGTGATTAATAACACTTGTTGTTTAATGATGGATTTCTTTCACAATGTGCTCTCATGTTCATCCTTGTCTTCAATGAGTCTGACGTGACAAACGTATATTTACGAGAAGCTCCAAAAACAATTGTTTTTAGGCATTCTATCTAATTTGATATGCGCCAAAACAATCTTTCAATACGAATAGACCATTTTCAGTTCAACTCTCAATATTGAAGCTATGGGTGAATACGAGAATGTATTCGCCATGGGTCGTAATCAAGGTCATTATTAGAAACTGTCCTGTAGATATCAAGGCACTGCTCGAAATCAAAGGAGCTGAAAGAGGAACACTTAGTCAATCAATGCGGATGAACTTCTCAGACAGGTGACAAAATTCATTTTCATTCTCATCTTCGTGATCATTCATAAATGATGTGGTTTACTCTAGTTGAGTGTGTGATTTTTTTTGAAGAATCTTGAGGGTATTCCATTCGTTGGAATATACAGTAGAAAAAAGAGCAGACTCTTCTTCTTCTTCTTGNTCTTTTGGGGATGTACATATGTACATTCGAGCACGTCAAATACTAGAATAGTCGAATTCAAATGTCGAGTTATACGTGTATGCTACAAGCATTCGATAGTATTACAACATCGAGAAAAGGCTTTGTTGAGCTGTTTTTGTGTATTTTGTTTTATGTTTTGATGTATGAATGATTTTGTACGATTTTTAACGTTTTGTTTTGAACACACAATGCATCGGTGATGTGCCGGTAAGCACACTGCTCAGGTGACTAATTCGATTTGGTGATTAATAACACTTGTTGTATAATGATGGATTTCTTTCACAATGTGCTCTCATGTTCATCCTTTTCTTCAATGAGTCTGACGTGACAAACGTATATTTAGGAGAAGCTCCAAAACAATTGTTTTTAGGCATTCTATCTAATTTGAGATGCGCCAAAACAATCTTTCAATACGAATAAACCATTTTCAGTTCAACTCTCGATATTGAAGCTATGGCTGAATACGAGAATGTATTCGCGAAGGGTCGTAATCAAGATCATTATTAGAAACTGTCCTGTAAATATCAAGGCACTGTTCGAAATCAAAGGAGCTGAAAGAGGAACACTCAGTCAATCAATCAATCAATGCGGATGAACTTCTCAGACAGGTGACAAAATTCATTTTCATTCTCATCTTCGTGATCATTCATAAATGATGTGGTTTACTCTAGTTGAGTGTGTGATTTTTTTTGAAGAATCTTGAGGGTATTCCATTCGTTGGAATATACAGTAGAAAAAAGAGCAGACTCTTCTTCTTCTTCTTGAGAAGCTTTTCACAGGACGAACTATGTGCTTGGCGAGCACTTAGTTAAATCATGAATTTGACAGCTGAGAGATGTTCGAATTGAACTTTTTTTTCAAAAATCAGATATATGATCAAGGTAAAGATTTATGTCGAGTCGTTATTATTGATCTCTTCAGAACAGTGCCGATCTCGATGGCAAACAGTAGCGGTTAACCGATAGATATATGTTTATTGACATTTCATACATTTTCACTGATGATCACGCATAAAGCAAAAACTTGAAAAACGATTTTTTTCAGACGATGACGCTTATATTTATACCTTTGGCTCCGACACAATTGATCTTTGATCCTGTAACATATACACACAGACAGACACTGAACATTAGCATATAGAATATATATGTGTGTGTATCTGCCATTCATTCATTCATTCATTCATTCATTCATTCATTGCATACTAATGGAATTAAAATGATAGCTTTTCATGTGAAACATGAGCTTTATTAAAAAAAAACAATATATCTTCAATCTTTATCCACAAAAAGGAAAACTGCCTTGAAAGTGTAGCAGTCGACGATTCTTGTTGTCATTAAGCCCATGCTTCAATCCATAAGAACTGTTGATGTGAACGATTTCTTGAATGAATTTGTTCCATTTTCATGAGGATTCCGACGAACCATTCACAATGGTGAAGAGTGTCAATACAATTCAGGAGAAATTGCACTTACCTTGCCGAGAGGCTATGCAAGAAAACGCGCACACTGATTTTCATCGGTAAGCTCAGGCGAAACAATCATTTAAGAGATTTGGTCATTGATTCGTGTATCCTAGACATACTATTTGCCAGCTTTGCATTGCACGATAGCCCATCGATGAATGGTAGGCATATCTGCACATTATTCGTGATGTTTCTCTAAATATTGGCCTAGAATCGTGATACAAACGTAGACCATATTGGAGTAATCGTTTGATTGATCAGGTAAAATTCGACCGAATGGCTAATAGTATATCTGTATTCTAGAAAAGCACTGTCGAATCACCGTCTGAAACGCCTCCGAGAATGTTCATGGAAAAATATCTGCCTGACCTTTCACTCTTGACACTTCTGACCCGGTCAACAGTGTCTAGATTTTGCGACTTTAAAAAGTGATTTTGAACAAAAATACTTGACTAACCTTTTTTCTCCTTGACGCACAGACAGACAAAACAAGCAGCCAAACTATGCTTTTCGTCTAACAACATTTCTTTCAGTCGAAGCAATAATATCATATGTTGTTCTTTTGACCATGATCCTCACATGTCCCATTGACATTCAGTCTTGATATAACTCCCACACTAACTAAGTCTCGTTGAATTGTTCAGCATTTTTAGAACAATGATTTTGTTGATCTTTGACCTGGCGAAACGGAAAACAAAGACAAATAATTTTTCTCTTTTCTTTATATGATCCTCTTTTCGATCGAGTGAATAGCCAAGAAGTCGAGATAGTGCACAAACCCTCTTCGACGCACTATGCTGGAATACAGTTACAACGATTTAACCACGATGGGGGTAAAAAAATGTAAAACTAAGAGAGGTTTTCATCGACCGAATGCCTAAATGCTTCATCAACACCGCAAACAAGTGCAAATCTTTTATGCTCTGTATCTTCATGGTTCCACAAAAACAAAACACAACAAAACAATTAGTTCATATCTTAGTCCCGCCAACTATTCATAGGTTCAAACGTGCAATCTTGAGGGTAACACTTCATACATAATACCATATACCTGCCATTTTCTTCTTCCAGATAATCCTCAACTTGATAGACAATCGACTGGCATAAATAACTCCACACACTGCCAACAACAACAACAACAACAACAACAACAACAACAACAACAACAACAACAACAAAGAAAAGAGAAAAAGAAAAAAAAAGTCTGGTCCAATCATCCTGTTCTCAACTAATGATACCGCTCATTAACATATGACCAATCAGCCCCTATAAAACAAGTAACGTAATTTTGTAGACTATATTCTGATAAAAGAAATAGTTCTTAAGTATGTACCGAATTCAATGAAAATTTCCTTGGAGATTTCGATTTACACTCACTTTATTTTTTGCTAAGAAGATCTACAACTGAACAACTAGTCGTCCCTATGTTTAACTTCAGCGTACGGTTCACTATCACTCCGACTTTCAAACTAGTAAATGTATTTCGTTTCGACTTTCCGAGATATTTTCTCGTAGAATTTCAAGAAGCAACGTAAAGAGAAGTCATTTTTGTAAATTGGTATAATTCCCAAGTAGTGCTCATTTGCCAGATCGGCTATCCTCCTCTCAAAGAAACTTGACGACACTTTTTATCTAAACATATGTTTCTTCCTAGTCTTCTTTGTGCAGAACATTGCT